ACAAATCACACCCATTTACATTTTAGCATTAGCAGTATTTTCGCAAAATGCAGAGCTTTCACTTTTACCAAAACGCTTTCACGATTTCACGATTTCTGAAGTTTTCGCCAACAAATGAAAGCTCATCGAAAGCTTAATATTAGAATGGACCAACGAGTGAATTTACAACAACACATACCAACACTTACACAGTTTTTACTACAAAAGCTCAACACAAAAAACTTTCAGCTAATCCCTTGACAAACACCATAAACCTGCCACTGAATCACTTTTGCCCGTGACATTGAAAAACGGCGTAAATTTCAAAACTCAGCACTACAGACAATTAATGTGTGTGTGTATGTGCTCATGAGTGCCCCGCTGCAGGTCAACAACAGATTTACGAGATAATTTAACACACACATACAGTCATAGGCACACATAGAGACAAACAATGGTAGTGTTAGTGGCGACGGTGAAAGCAGCATGACAAAGCAGCCGCCAGGCCGATAAAATGCACGCCAGTTAAGCCAACAACAAGAAGTAAGCGTAGAAAATGACTGGCAACAACAAAATAGGCAAACAATCATCAAATCAGGCAGCGAAGCAAATGGGTCACCGTGGCCTTAGATGCGCTCGCTCGCTACAAACTGTGCCTCGCCGCGTGGCTGTGCCGCTTTGGCGAATGTCAAGTTCAAATATGTGGCAGATCCTAAATGAGTGGCAAAATGCAAACACATGGAGGTAGAAAAGAGAAAGCAGCGCGACACGCCTACTCGGTCGGTTTCTCATAATTTGCAAATGAAGGCACGGGGCTTTCATAGCTATTGTACTATATATGTAGGAGGGGTCTTACCAAAGTTCGCTTGCTTGAAATAGATTTGGTTCATTAAGGATACTTTACTTGATATTTAGACGATCCGGTAGATTGCCGATATCGAATCTTTTGCGAAAGGTGCTCAGGGTCAGAGGTTAGATTATATTTGTTATTTTTGCTGAGAGCCAGATTTATCTATTATACATTTTGTAAATCTTGCGTCCGCCAACTGTCGAAGTAGTTCGGTAAGTGGCGAAATAGTATTGTACTTTCTTCTAGACTGGACTCTCGTGAGATTAGGACTAAAAAACTTTGGATTTGATTATCTTAACTAACCTCACTAACGAGCTGAAAATGCAAGCAATCCAATTGGAATAGTTGTGATGAGCTCAAGACGCCGATATAGACGAGAGCTAACCATTTTCAGTAGTTTCTTTGGTGCCTCAAAGGACTTTTTAAGAGAAATTTCTCGATTTCAGGCCAGCTTTAATACCCAAGCCGATACCCGGACTGATTTACGTGAGATACATTTGACTCTTACACCTTTGCTAGATGCTGGCCGAACTTCTATTTCCATTTAACAAATTTCTGGATATACAGGTTGAAGCGTCTTAGAAATACTCATGATTTTGTGAACATTTATCTTGAGGAAATACCCTCGAGGATTCACCGAGAGATGGGCGATGGCCATATTAAAAACTTTATGATGTAATTCGGAGCCGGGACCGAACTGGGGTATTGCGTGGTGCTTTTAGAACCTTTAACCCCAATACCAAAGAAGTTGGCATTTTATCGAGTTAAAGAATAAACGTTTGGTGAAGGATTGCAAATTGACTATACTGGATAAATACCGTTACTCTCTTGAAATATTGAACCGTTGCTGTATTTCGGCTTAATATGGCAGTACCTCGTGGAATCGCAAACAAATTACATTTTTTTACAGTTTTTTAGTAAATTTTCATTGGTAGCCTCGGCAGTTCACACTCGTCTTTTGTCTCAGCAGTAGCTCATAACGGTATGTCAAGCGTACAATGCAGAGATCGTCCCCACTTTTGGCAAACATGTTGGCCTTTAAATTAGCCACACAAACGCACACACATCCACGTATAAGCGCGCCAATACCCCACACTGCGTGAAGGCGTTACAGCAGCCTGAGTTAGCGCCTGAAACTATGCCACTCTGAAAGCAAGGTTACGGCGGCTCTAAAGAAAACTGTCAACAAACTGTTGAGTCAGCACAGCCAGCACACATGAATACTTGAGCTTATTATACCTTCTTAGCCATAATGTGCATAATGTCAGCGGAAGTGGGCGCCTTAATGTAGGCTACCATTTGGCCTTTTTGTTTATGTACATCGTGGAGCAAGCAACCCTCCTACCAGGCACTTGGTAATAATGGAACTAAGCCCAAAGACAATAAATATATGCATCTGAAAAGTAAATAAAAACGCAACAACAATGATCACAACAAAATAAAGGTTAGCGCAAAGGAGCTGCTCTTTGCCTTAACTCTGCGCCTATCAACAGCATTGTCTGCGGCCTTTGCGCGCCAATAAGTATGCTATGTCGAAATAAAACCGGCGGCTTGCCAAGTTCTGTTAGACTTGCAATTTTATTGTGCCAGTTGTACTTGTTATTGCTTGTTTTGTTGCAACGCTATGCTGGCACAGCCCAGCATTGCCCGCTCGCGTACAGTTCTCGTTGATTTCGTAGCTCTGGTACCGGCCATGTCAGGCCCCTTGAACACATTTCATTTAACTGTTGCCAAATTATTTTGTGATTGCATATTTTCGGGCGATTGCGCCATAACAAGTTGTAGTGTTGCATTTTCAAGGTGAGGCAGGCGGGCAAGCGCACGGCAGTGCCTTACATTGTGACACAATGACGTCATCGTGCCGAGGACCATGGCTGTTAAGCGATGAGCGAGCGCACAGAACACGAGCAATTTCAATAAATTCAAGTGACATTCATGTGGCAATCACATGAAGTGTGCATAGCTTTTGGCGCTTCCGGGTATATGTGGTTTGACATAAAATACATTGTTTTTCTATTTTCCAAACAGGAAATTTACAAAACTCACACAGTGCAAATAGCGCCTTGATTTATACTCGCACCGTGTGACCTGTGTGTCTCTTCGGCTGTTTAACCTTTGGTTTTCGCGCCATTGGCGCCAACATGTAGGCCTTTAAATTTAAGTGTCCGTTATTTGTTAGGAAATATTTGAAAATAGAAAATAAAAGCAAGCACAAAATATGCGGCTTCGACGCCGCAAAAATTGTGGACACAGCTCGACCTTTTTATTGCGCAAATTTAAAACACAATCGTAGATAAAAAACATTTGCATACATTTTGGCGCATAACACTTATGACGAGGTTAGGATAACCGAGTTAAGGATATAGGCAAGTTTACAACAGCGCACCAGTCGTTCTTCTTTTTCACTCTTTGGCGCCAATTGGAGATTTGAAGCGAAGCCAGGTCCTTCTACACCTGGTCTTTCCAACGGAGTAGGGTTCTTCCTCTTCCTTCGCTTCCCCTCGCAGCTATTGCGTCGAATACTTTCAGAGCTGGAGTGTTTCTGTCCATTCGGACAACATGACCTAGCCAGCGTAGCCGCTGTCTTTTAATTCGCTGAACTATGTCAGTGTCGTCATATATCTCATACAGCTCGTGGTCCCATTGACCGCGATATTCACCGCGGCCGACGCGTAAAAGACCACAAATCTTTCGCAGAATCGTCCATGCCTCAGCACTATGTAGCAGGACGAGAATAATAAGCGACTTATAGAGTTTGGTGTTTGTTCGAAGGGAGTTTACTTCTCAATTGCCTACTCAGTTAGAGTGTATACCTCTTGCACGCGTTATTCTGCGTCGTATTTCAATTCTGATATGTTGTTGATGTAAAAACTGGTTCCAAGATAGACGAAATTATCTACGACTTCAAAGTTATGACTGTCAACAGTGACGTGGGAGCCAAGTCGTGAGCGCTATGATGACAGGAGATATTTCGTTTTGTCCTCGTTCACAGCCATACCCATACTCTTCGCTTCCTAATCCTGTCTGGAGAAAGCAGAACCAATAAATATCACCTACCTTCCTTCCCTCGACCTTCCTTTTACGGGTCTTTTTTAAGATTTGGCGCATTATTAAAACCTGATCGATAGTAGACTTGACGGGTCTAAAAGTCAATGATAAGATCTAATCAATTTGTTGACAGTGAGCTTTAGCCTTTCATATACTACGCTCGAAAAAAACTTATACGCGATGGTGAGGAGACTGACCCCACCGAATTGGCGCGGTCTCCCTTTTAGTGAATTGGACAGTGCGATATTCTACAAACAAGCTAATGCATGCTCCTTATCCGTTCTTCGCCGCCGTATTTGAATAGCTCGGCGGACAATCCATCGACACCCGACGATTTGCTGCTCTTCAGACGGATAATTGCTATTCGAACTTCTTTACATATGCCCGGTCTATCGTCACCGATTGGGAATCGAGTTCACTATCTCCAGGCCATTCAGCAGGCTAGAGAAGTGCTTCCTCCATAGTTTCGGTATGATCTAAATATAAGTCACTAAATCACCTCTGCCCGCTCTGCAAGAGTGTATGGTGTAAAGTTCTCGTATCCAGGATAATTTGGTTTTCGTGACTGGAACGTTTCCGGTTTTAGACACGGTCCACATCAAGGTTAAGATTATTTTCAAATTTCTTCGATTTTACAAGTTCTCTTTCTTTCTGAACGAATTTGAAATTTTAGAGAGCTTCAAAGCTCTTTCATGGGTACCTTAATACCATTCCCACGCTGTTTGTTTCTATATCTCCGAGGCGAATCCTGATTTGGTAAGTAGTCAAGTTGTTTCAAAAGCGCTCTAATCTATCTGTGGTTGGAACTGTAGCACTGCTCAAGACTTCCTCGATGAAATATCATAAAACAAGAACAACAAGAACTCCGTCAATGGCACTTTTAACTGTTTAATTTCTGGCAGCCACGCATATGTATGTATGTACATATGAAACGCTTAATTTTGTAAAGCAAGTAAATTCTTTCTTCAAACATTTCTCTTCACAACACTTTTGTTGTTGTTATTTCAAATTAAATCAATAATTGTAACTCCATTTCTTTTCGATTAAAAATTTGTAAGTTGAATAAAATTGCAAAATAATAAATTTTAATTATTTTTCTTCGAATTTGTTTAATTTCTTGCAGTTGGTCATACTTCTGCACTGAGAAATACATTTTGGACACAACAAAATCTTTTGTACTTGCAACGTGATTGGTTGGTGGACAATAATTAAATGAGGCAACATGGGAAATGGCATGAACAAGGTAAGTCTGAGCTGTGATTAAAACTTTTAATTGCTTCAATTGTGCTAGAGATTAGACTGACTGGGTGATTTGTTGCTCATTTTGTTATTGTACTGTTAAAAAATCTGAAACTCAACTGTCAAATGCGGACCCACTTTGCAAGTTGGTTGTGTTGTCCAATATACGTTTTTGGGGGCTTCAGCGCCATCTGTCAAATGCATACAAAAACTACGAAGAGCGTACGTTCTTAGCAGAGATCGTTTATCATGGACAGAGAATGATAAACGTTCTCTGTATTAATTATTGCTCAACACAGGGGAAATATAAATAAATCTCAGCTGTTCCACTGCAAGCCAATTGCAGTTGTCAAGGCAACTAGCAACAACAAACATTAAATAGCGAGTTCAGAATGCTTAGCAAACAACTTAGAAGGTCTTCAAAAATAAACATCTTTATTTAAAATGTTAATTTCGGTTACTTGACGCAGCTTTAAGGCAACATGGATTGGCATATGAATTTGGCAAGCAACTACAAGACGCTTTTATGCAACCTTTAGCTGCTATCAATAATATAAATCATTTTAATACTTTCAGGTGTTGCCCGGGCTCTATGTTGGCAATTATCGCGACTCGAAGGATCAGCAGCAGCTGGACAAGCATCAGATTACACACATTATAGCCATACACGATAGCCCAAGGCGCTTGCTGCCGGTAAGCGACCAAAAAATTATACATATTATAACACAATTATTACTAAATCCCAATTTTTCTTTTTCAGGACAAACACTATCTGTGCGTGATGGCTGCCGATACACCGGATCAGAATCTCTCACAGTATTTTTCCGTTTGTAATGATTTCATTCATGCTGCGCGTCTCCGAGAAGGCAATGTGCTGATACATTGCCTGGCCGGCATGTCACGCTCCGTTACTGTGGCGGTGGCGTACATAATGACCGCCACCAATTTGAGCTGGAAGGAAGCATTGAAGGTAGTGCGCGCTGGACGCGCTGTGGCCAATCCGAATATCGGTTTCCAGACTCAGCTGCAAGAATTCGAAATGTATCGCTTAATGGAGGAGCGCAGACGTTTGCGTGAACGTTTTCCTTCAACAGCGCTGGAACATTTGGATCGCTCAAAGTGCTCAGCAGCGTTGGATAACTATCAGGAACTCCTGCAGAATCGTGACATTTGTGAGGGAAATTGTACACGTGGTGAAAAGTGTCCGACAGGTGCGATGATGGTATTACCATTAAGTGGGGAAATTAGTGATTTGAATGGGGGACAAACAGCTGCAAGTGGCAGCTACGCAAATACAGATAAAAATGTAGCCTATATGATCTCATTTGCGGCAGAAAAGTGGGAAATCCTATCTGTAGATAATAGTGGTTTGAAAAAAGGTGGCGATGAGGATGACGATGAAGATGACGATGAAGATGAGGTCAAGCCACTAGAAAACTTACCAGTCGAAGATGGGCCTGTAAAGGAGCGTGGAGAAATTCTAAGCAAAGAGAGCGGTAATGATGATGATTCGAATGAGATATGCTTTGAAGATAACCAAACAGGACAACAGTTAATGGAAAATGTTTTGTATTTTCATCCAATGGAAGAGAACCAAGTGCCGATTGTGTCACCGACAATCGTAGAAAAAACGTTACCCGAGTCAACTAATTTAGGAGCAATTGAAAACGCACAAAATAAAAGTACTATTGATATATGAAAGAAATTGAAAAAATGTGGAAAATCAAAATTCTTTAAATTAAATAAATTATACTCCAACCAGTCCTGTAGAACGCGGTTGCATTAAGTCAACAAATTAATTTTTTATGTATTAGGTTGTCAAAAAAGTCTTGCGATATTTTTTTATTGAATTTTCAATTGTTCATAAAAAAAATAAAACTCATGCCCAGCTCTTGACCAATGCTACGGCTGCTACTATCCCGGTCTCTTTCGACCAATTCAGCGATTTTATCGCAATTTTCGACGACAGGCCTTCCGGAGCGTGGCGCATCTTCGACCACCTCTACACCAAAAACGTTGAAACCATCGTTGTGCGATGGAAATGGAAACTGTATCGGGTCCATAAACTGCAAAAATTTTATTGGCGGCTTGAGATGCATTTTTGCCTTTATCGTAGTAGTACTGTAAAATATGCCGTATTTTCTCTTTATTTTGCTACATGTTTGCGACGCTATAACTCACGAACGACTTAAAAGAAACGACAATCAATCAAACACGTGTTAGCGCAACTAGAACTACGCGCTCTCAGCGCCAACTAGCGAAAATACCGCAACACTTTTTTGACAAACTAATATTTTAAACTAGCTTTCTCTCCTCTTAAAAGATGTTACCTATAGTCTTACTTTTTCTAATGCAGGTGTCTGCAACATGGATCCCTCGAAGGGTCTATTCCGTCGTCGTCCCTCTTCGGCGTCGACGCGTTCACGTCTTCGCGGTCAGCCATCCACTTCTAGTGCTTCAGCATCGCCTTCGATATCCGCTGCTGGCCTTGCCAATGTAATCGCCACAAATGTGGCTCAATCGTGTCCGACTTCGCCAAGTCATTCACCGGCCACACGTCGTTCGCTGGGCACACAGAAAATACCCGAAGATGAGGAGGCACAAAACCCACCCATACAAACGACAACTACCACAACAACAGCGCAAATAAACAACGAAACCACGACGGCCACCAACAACAGTAACACGACCACCACGTCTAACACGAATACTACTACCAACACCACCACCGCAGCATTGTCGCCGCTGATAGCGACAGCGAGTAGTTCAAAAGAGGCGGCCGAATACGCGGCCGCCATCAACGATGCGAAACGTGAAAGAGAAGCTCTGCACAAGTCACCGCCCGCTGCACGCATGCGCAATCCACGTGTGCACAGCGCTGGTAGTCGTTTGATAAGCGGTTCAGCCAAGGCGCGCGCCGCCGCATCTGCTACAGTGGCAGCCCAGCAGCAGCAGGATGAAGTGGTGAAGTGCACCACAACTAGAAATGGTGGCGTTGCCGTGAGTGGCAACAATGGGCAAGCGCAACTACAGCGCAGCGCCAGCACGGTAAGCGGTCTAACGGTGCGTCCGTACAGCAGTCCGGCAGGTTTGCATGCGTACACGGGCAAAGTGCCCGGCTCTGTGCCATCGTCCGTCCATGGCTCGCGCGTAGACCTTCGCGATCCAGATAAGGGTTCGGCAATTTATTTGGGCTGTTCGGCACCACGCAATTCGACATTGTCGCTGTCTTCACGCACCTCTTCAGGCAGTTCGGCGCCACCGTCGCCGGTGCGCACGCCGCCAGTGAGCCCGCGGCACGGCATAAGAAGGTAGAACTCAGATACAGTATTTGTAAGCACCTCTTAACATTATTCAACTCATTTTAGGGCTGCTACTGTGGTGAAAAAGCAACAGCAAAGGTGAAACAACTGCAAAGCCTGATAATGGCCCGTCGCAACGATCATTGCTGGAGCAATCCAAATACACTACTTTTCGTCGGAAAAAGTGAAACGATCAGAACCGAATTCTCACGAGCTATTTTCGCTCATTTTTGGCGTACTAATTGCGGACTAGCAACTGCAAAGCAAGCTAACTGTCTTTGTATAGGTTCCTTCAATTCGGTAGACTGTTTAGGATCATTGTTTTTAAATTGTCAAATGTTCAAAACATTGGAACACTGTTAATTGACAATTGCTAGGGTAACCAGAAGCATTTTCCCGCGCTTAGCTTACACTTGGCATAGAATCTTCAAAAACTCAAAGCAATTACTTACGTAGTACTATGGACATAGGAACTTAGCAAATATAGTTTTTTTTACAATACGAAACTACTAATTAATTTACTGTTATATGTATAGTATATAGCATAAGACAAACGCTTGCGAAACTGTGAAATTAAGAAAACAAAAAATGAAGAAAAATGCAATTATTTATGAAAAACAACTTTCAGAACCGATTGAACACGAAATTTAAATATTTTATGTGATAAATTAAAGTAAAGTTAAAAGAAAAAAACATAAAAGAGTGCAAATAAAAATAAAATTCAATTAAAAAATAAAACAAAGTTATGTACATAAATTAAAAAAGTGAGAAATTAGATATAAGCAATTTAACAAAAACAATAAATAATATTTGGAAACAAATTAAAAGAAAAATAAATTTATCATAATGCTAATTATAAAAAAAAAATGTAATCACTTGTTTTGATTTTAAAGTAAAAAATAATTAATTCAATTATTTATAACAGAATCAAAACCTGTGAAAATTAAATAATTGCAAAAAATAAATATTACAACAAAAATAAAGACAATTGAATAAAAAATCAAAATAATTTAAAAAATTATTTGTTAGCAATAAAACATAAATAATTAACAAGTATTCTAAAACGGGATTTGAAGTAAATAAACCGCAATTATAAA